TTCTGTTCATGTGGTACTGAGAAATCAAACCCAGGGCTTCATGTATGTTAGGCAAGCATTCTACCACCAGACCACATTCCCAGCCACTGAGTTTCTTTTTACCCAAGGCTACTGTTCTATCACTTGAGCCACAGCTTTACTTCTAGCTTTTTTGTAGTTTATTAGAGATAAGAGTCTCACAGACTTTTCTGCCTAGGCTGGCTTTGAACCATGATCCTCAGATATCAGCCTCCTATGTAGCTAGGACTACAGGTGTGAGTCGTGCGAGTCATGGATATCGTTTCTCTCTCTCTCTCTTTCTTTTTCTTTTGCTAGTCCTGGAGCTTGAACTCACTGCCTAGGTACTGTCCCTGAGCCTCTTTGTGCTCAAGGCTAGCACTCTATCACTTGAGCCATAGCACTACTTCCGGTTTTTGAGTGGTTAATTGGAGCTAATAGTCTTCTTCTTCTGCACAGGCTGGCTTCAAACCTTGATCTTCAGATCTCAGCCCCTGAGTGGCTAGGATTATAGTCTTGGGCCACCAATGCCTGGCATGTCTCCTTTCTTCTTTTTCTTCTTCCTCCTCCTCCTTCTTTTCTGATCCTCAGGCCTGAACTCAGGTCTGGGCACTGACCCTGAACCTCTCTGTGCTCAAGTCTTGCGATCTATCACTTGAGCCAAGTGCCACTTCCAGTCTTTTCTGTTTATGTGAAACTGAGGAATTGAATCCAGGGCTTCATGCATGCTAGGCAAGCACTGTACCACTAAGCCACTAAGCCATATTCCCAGTTCTCCTTTCTTCTTCCTCCTCTTTCTTCTCTTTTCTTCTTTCTCCTCCTCTTCTCCCCTCCTCCTTTTTTTAAAAATTAAATTTAATTGTAAGAGTAATGTCAGAGGGGTTACCGTTCATTACACAAATAAGGTAATGAGCACATTTCTTGTCCAACATTGTTACCTCCTCCCTCATTTTCTCCCACTTTCTCTTCCCCTCCTCCTTCTTTCTCCTTTTCCTCTTTCTTCTTCCTTCTCATTCTTCATTTTTCTCCTTTTTCTTCCTTCTCCTTCCTTCTTCCCACCATCTCCCTCTTGGGTACAATTTTTGTTATCTAATGAGGACAAGCATCCCAAACTGAGCTGAAACTCTCTGGCCTTAAAATCCTACTGTGCTGGGCACTGGTGGCTCAGGCTGGTAATCTTAGCTATTCAGGAACCAGAGATCAGAGGATCCCATTTCAAAGCTGGCTCAGGATGAAAAGTCCATGAAATTCATCTCCAATTAACCAGCAAAAAGGAAGAGTGGAACTGTGACTCAAGTGGTAGAACATCAAGCCTTGAGCAAAAAAAGCTAAGAGTGCCCAGGTTCTGAGTTCAAGTCCCAGTACAGGGCTGAAAGAAAAGAAAAAGAGGGGAAAAAAATCTCTCAGGGAAAAGGATGGATTCAAAAGGTGAGAAGAAGGCAGGCAGACAAAGGCACCAACCTCAAGAAACCAAATCAACTGTAATGAAAGTTGAAGAGGGACTCCAGGGTAATCAGAGGAGAGTCAGGAGACACTAGGTATACTCGGGAGGGGTGGAGGGTCTTTAAGTAGAGGTCTGGGTGGGGATAGATTATAGGTAGCTCAGGAGTTGTAAGGAGTTTTGCAATGAGCCTTGAGCGTTTCTGGTTCAGGGAACCTCTGGTGCACTTGAATGGATTAGCCAGGTGTGGCAAGTGTGGAGGAAATTAGGTGCCTGTCACCTGATGGGTGGGGGGTGGGGAAGTGGGCTTTCACATTTAGATTAAGATGGAGGAAATTCTGGAAAGGGAGTAAAGGGGTAGTCAGTGGGCCAAGCCCAGGGAGCTACACTGAGTTATGAAAACAAAGCAGATTCCCATCATTAACTACTTTTGCCTTTTTCATTGCTTAGACAGAATTTTTTCGTGTCTATAATATTTTGATTATCAGGAATATCAACAACAAAAGAGCCTAAAGGTGAACTCAAAAGACCAAAAGGTTTTATTCAGGATGAAAATCCAGGAAAGGGTAACAAGTCTCCTCCAACAGGCCTGAAGGGAAAATGGCATGCCTCTTTACAACTAGGCTCCCTTTTTATGAGGCATAAAAGGGAAGTCAGCCTGGGCAGAGGTCAGGAGTAGTCTCTTTCACATGGGTTGGGGACAGAATGGGACCAAGAGAAGGGGCCCTTTGTGCAAAGATAGAGTTGGGTGGTAGAGCAATCTTATCTTGAGTCTCAGGATGGAGGTTTTAACATCATCAGTGTTAGCAGGTACAACAATACACAATACTGTCAGGAGCTATCTCTTTTTTACTGTACATATAATTACCCCTCCCTAGTAACTATGGTTAGGGCAGCACAGACCAGCAGACTTCAAGACCATTTTTTAGAGAGGATAAAGGTAGTTACTGCCAGTGACCTGAACCACATCAGTGTCAGAAAGAAGTTTGGATCCTGAGGGAGGGAAGACCCTGGGTTTTATACAAGCTGGTCACATACAACATAGGCATTAATCAGATATACACAAGTTCAAGCAGCTGACATCAACTTCTGACCAGGTGAGCAGTTCCTGTTATAACCTCTTTTTACTATTATTATTATTTTATTGTAAAGATGCTGTACAGAAGAGTTACAAGAGTAAGGCAATGAGTACATTACTTGTCAATCATTGTTACCCCTTTCCTTGTTGTTGTCACTTTATCACTACCCTCCCCCACAACCTCTTTTGTACTTTTATTTTTAAAATGCCTTAGCTGGGCACTAGTGGCTCACACCTGTAATCCAAGCTATTCAGGAAGCTGAGCTCTAAGGATCTCATCCAGAAGATTCTGATATTTAATTAATGACTAGAAAACCTGAAATGTTGCTGTAGCTCACAGTACTAGAGCACTAACCTTCAGCAAAAAAGCTCAAGGACAGGGCCCATGTCCAGAGTTCAAGTCCCAGGATGGTTTTTTTTGGTCCTGGGGCTTGAACTCTGGGTCTGGGTGCTGTCCCTTAGCTCTTTAGCTCAGGGCTAACGTTCTACCACTTGAGCCACAGTGTCACTTCTGGTTTTTTGGTGGTTCATTGGAGATAAGAGTCTCATGCACTTTCCTGCCAGGGCTGGCTTGAACCGCCATTCTCAGTTCTTAGCCTCCTGAGTAGCTAGGATTACAGGTGTGAGCTACCAGTGCCTGGCCCCAGGATCTTAAAAAAAAAATGCCTTGTGGGCTTCCACTATCAATTCAGATAGCCTTACCTCCTCTACCCCCAGCCTACGTTCCAGGAATAGTTCCACCTGGCCACTGGGTGGGACCACATTCCAGCAACTGAGTACTGGAAATTGCCTTGGCTAGGAGGGATAACTTTAAGTTTCTGGTAAAGGTCTTCCCAGCAGCTTTCTATGGGATGTGGCCAGGTGAGGCTGTCTATCTGAATCCTGAGGCAGGCTGACCAGGTGGGCTAAATTGATAACAGGAGGTCAACCAGGTATTTTTGAATACCAAAAGGGGGGGAGGGGGAGGAGGGAAGCATATATCTAAATTAAAGCTGCAGGGACAAGTATGTGGCTTAGTGGCAGAATGCTTGCCTAGCAGGTCTGAAGCCCTGGGTTTGACTCTTAGTACTACATAAACAGAAAAAGTCAGAAGTTGAGCTGTGTCTCAAGTGGTACAGCGCTAGGATTGAGTCCAGAGAAGCTCAGGGACTGCCTAGGGTCCTGAGTTCAAGCACCAGGACTGACAATAAAAAATAAAAATGTATACCAAAGCAACAATAAATGGATGCCATTGTGTTTTGTCAATAGGAAAGGAATTGCACATCTCGTTTGGTATTTGCTGGCTCACCCTGCCATAACATTTTCTTTTGCTTCTTTCGCTCAAGGCTTGTGTTCTACCACTTGAGCCACAGCTTCACTTCTGGCTTTTTTGGTGATTAATTGGATATATGAATCTCATGGACTTTTCAGCCTGGTCTAGCATTGAACTGTGATCCCTAGAATTCAGCCTCCTGTGTAGCTAGGATTACAGGAGTGAGCCACCAGTGCCCAGCTTACGTAGAATTGTTACCTTCTATAAGAAACCAAAACGTATATGTTTATTTTCTTCGTAAAGATTCATCTGCATACGGGAATGTTTTCCCTATCACAAAGTCTTGGAGAAAAGTATTCTTCTTATGCATTTCTTGGGTGCACTTTTAAGCAAATATAAAGTGTTCGTCAATTGTACTGCACTGTCTGGATTACCTAGTTTTGAGACTACCAAAAGCAGCTAATTTGAATGGGGAAAGCAAAGGATCGGGAAAATCAACCACTTACCAAAGCCTATTTCCAGACCTACCTCAGACTTAGGAAGTGAGCACTTTAGTTGTTGCTTACATTCCTTTCCAGGAAGCTCTGCAGGTTTATATTGTAATGGAAATGAAAGGTGCTTGGACCTCGGCTCCCATCAGCTGCACCCTAGGAGCCTGAAAGTGATTTGCAAAGTCTCCACTCCACTGCGCACGAACGCCACTCAGCAATTCTGGGTGGCACTAGGACCCCGCCCCGGAGTCCCTGCACGGCTGCGTGGAGGCTAATGGGCGGGCCCTCGAGTGGGCGGGGCCTCGACAGGCTCCTCGCCCCGCCCTGACTGACTGGACTTAAACTCCGGAGCCAGGGGGCCTGAGGGTCGGGGGCATTCTTCCATTTGTCAGAGCCCCGCGCGACGTCCTGGGGGGGGTGAGTAGCGGGTGTCCGCGACCTCTGCGGAGCCGCGTGGAGTCCCAGGCGGCTTCGTCGCGGCGCGGGCCCCGCGGGCGGGGCTGCCCGCGCCGAGGCCGAGCGCTTTTGTTCCAGCGAGGAGGACTGGAGTCGCGGGCTGCCCGCCGCCTCAGGTTTTCCCTCCCTCCGCGCCCTTATCCGGGCGCGTGCCCGGCGAGCCCCTACTCGCGCGGACGCGCGTGTAAGCCAGCCCCCGGCTCCGCCAGGGCCCAGGCCCGCCCGCGGCCGCTCCACTTCCGCTCGGCCGGGAGGGCGGTGCCGGGCGGCCGCGGTACTGCGGCGACCACGGGCTGCGCGCTGGGGATCGCGGGCCCTGCAGCACCTGCCCGGGCAGCTGAGTTCGGGCGCGGTTCGGGGTCTTGGCGGGGAGGCGGAGCTGGGGCTGGCGAGTGGACACGTCCGCCTTGCTCTGCGTCGCTCTTCCCTGGGTTGGGCTTTTGCGTTACATTGCAACGCAGCGCCCTTTGCCGTGCCTTTCCCTAGCGGCGCTGGGTGACGGCGTCCGCAAGCCCGGCGTCCGGGAGCGCAGCCGCAGCCGCAGCCCGCAGCCCGCAGGCAGGCCGACCGAGGGGATGACTTCCTCCCAGGCAGCTCCGTGCGCTCGCGAGTGCGGGCCGGGCGCGCTCTCCCGGGGAGGCGTAGCGCGCCGCAGGAGAGCGCCGAGCCCCCAAGCACGGTCCTCGGAGGTCCGGAGTTGAGCCGCAAGCTTTCGGGGAATGGTTTCCGTGAAAGCAATTCGTTTGTAAGACTTGGGAGTGTCTCCCCCTTGGTTGTAAAGACTTGGGGTGCATCCGGTCATTGTGAAGCTTGTTTGGTATTTTAGGAAGTTTTTGTGTACTAACTACAGTCGTGTTGCGCTAAGACGGGTCTGAAGTTTGACTCGGCGTTTTGCCCCCTGCATAATCGGGCACTTTCACCAGCCTGGTAACAAAATTGCTAAAGTGTTTGTATTTTGGAGTGAGAGGGTGGTACTGGATCTGGGAGTCGATTTGAATTCCAAGGGCCTGTCCTACTTTTAACATTCTGTTCCAAGCACACTGAATAAGAACGTAGTCAACTTTGTAATGCTTTCAGTGCAGCTTTGAGGAAAACAGTTGCATGTGTTTCCTGTTAACCTTAAAGTGTTCCCTTGCTGTCTCTAGGACCAAAGTCAGCACCCCCTCCTTTTTGTGGAAGTCTTTGGAGAACATACAGAACAGATAAAGAGCAAAAAGAGCTTTAAAGGTACGTTACTTAAGAGCCCTCCCTACCCTGATTGGATCTTGTGACGATTCACCCTCTATTTTGGAGTAATTGTTGTGGCATAAAATTATTGGATGAATCAACAAAAGTGCTTAATGAACCCAATAAAATTGATGACAAGTCTTGCAAAGAAATAAGGTTTTTGGGATAGTACTGAAGATTGAATTGTCTTAAACAGAAAGGAAAATATTTTGTTTCTAAAATGTTTTTACTTTTTTTGGGGGGGAGGGTATCGGTACTGGGGAGGGAACCTGAACCCAGGACATTGCACTTGCTAGGCCAGTGCTTTGTAATCCCACCCCATGGCACTGTTCTGGAGCTCTGTGTTTAAGGCTACAATCTACCACTTGAGCCACAGTGCTGCTTCCACTTTTTTCAGAGTTTATTGGAGATGGTCTCATGGACTTTATTGCCTGGGTGGCTTTGAACCATGATCTTCAGATATCCATTTCTGAAGTAGCTAGGATTACAGGCGTGAGCCACTGGCAACTGGCTTTTAAAAATACACACACACACACACACACACATATATAAACATATACATATATGTATATATATAAAACTGTTGTGGGAGGGGCTGGGAAGGTGGCTCAGTGGTAGAGTCCTTACTTTGCAAGCATGAGGCCCTGGGTTTGATTCCTCAGCACCACATGAAGAGATGGAAGTGGGCTCTGTGGCTCAAATGGTAGAGTGCTAGTTAGCTTTGAGCTGAAGGGCTGAAGGACAGTGCCCAGGCCCAGAGTTTAAGCCCCATGACTGACCAAAAAAAAAAAAAGAAAGCAAAAAGGCAGAAAACTGTTGTGGGAGATCGAGGCCTCAAACACGGCAGTCATAGACACTCTACTATTGAACTTAGTTGTTGTTTTTTTCTCCTTTGATGTCACTGGAGTTTGGGCCCAGAGCCTTGTACTTGTTAGGTTGGTGCCATTACCAGCTGGGCCTTTTTTCTTCATATTTTTGCCTAGATGATTGGTGTATACCATCACAACCACCTTTTTAAAAATTTTTTCCGACCAATTGAGCTATGACTTCCAGGCTGGCTTCAAACTTTGATCCTTACAATGCAGACACTTGAAAGAAATCATGATATAGTGAAATGACTGGTAGAGCTTACCTAGGCAAAGGTATCTTGTATTCTCTACAGGCTCCATTTTATTTTGATGGAAGGGGATAGGCATATTGCCCAGTGCACTGTTCTATGAGAATTTTGCTGTACCAGCAAAGTGAATGATTTTCTGGGGTTTCCATCCTGTAATCATATCTATATAATTTAGATATCACTTGTGAACCCACACCTATAATCTTAGTTTCTCAGGAGGCTGAGATTCTGAGGATTGTAGTTCAAAGCCAGCCTGGGCAGGAAAGTCCATTGGACTTTTGTTTTGTTTTTTTGGTCATTTATGGGCCCTGAACTCTGGGCCTGGGCACTGTCCCTCAGCTCTTCAGCTCGAGGCTAGTGCTCTACCACAGCACCACTTCTAGTTTTTTCTGCTTATGTGGTGCTGAGGAATCAAACCCAGGTCCTCATGTGTGCAAGGCAAGCACTCTACCACTGAGCCACCTTCCCAGCCCCTATTAGACTCTCCTACATCTCCAATTAACCACCAGAAAGCTGGAAGTGGTGCTGTGGCTCTGTGGTAGAATGCTAGCCTTTAGCAAAGGAGTGATAGTGCCCAGGCTCAGAGTTCAAGCCCTATGACGGATAAAAAACATGAACATACTTGTAATAATTCCTAACAGTTCTGTAGCCTAGGCTGGTCTTGAACTCCTAATTGTGGTTTTTCATTCAGTATTAGTCACTCCTTCTCATCACCTGGTTTGAACTCCAAAAGATTTTCTCCATTAAATCCCATAACTGGGGAAGCTATACCTTGAGTTTTGCTCTTCCATCTTGCCTTGTGTGATGATACACAATCGTCCATCTAGCTGATACTAACTGGAGCTCAAATATGTAGCAAATCAGTCAAGCCTTATTAAAGGTGAATTTCATGAATCTCTTTTGCCCAAGCAGACCTCTGTTCCTCCTTTATTGGAGGCCATATTTCACTGTGTACAGCAGACATGGAAGGCTTTCCCTTTGGGAAAAACATGAATAGTTCACCAGCCCTGCATATAGAAATAATAAAGGTTAAAAGTTTGCTTTGGAAGAAGGCCTGTAAAGAAAGAAGCTGTCCCTGTGGGCTTTGAAGAGGAGAATTTATCAGGTGACATGACTTTAGAGTGTTGGGTGGCAGCTGTGCCATGCTTAAATTTTTAACGCTATTTATAAATGAAAGGCATAATTGGAGCTGGCTTGTTGAGGTAAATGTCTCAAGTGAGATTAGGACTATGTTTTCTCTTCATGGTTATAAAAGTAAGTACAAAGCTTTAATGACAGTAACTGGAGATTCTCTGGAGATATATCAAGTTTCAAGACTTCATTTGAAAATAGTGTCTTATAAGTAAAATTACGATGTGTGAAAACTTAATTGGAAGCCAGGTATGGAGACACCTTTATTTAATAATCTCAGCACATCAGAAAGCTGGTAAGGAGTTGGGAAGGTGGCTCAGTGGTAGAGTGCTTGCCTTGCATGCATGAGGCCCTGAGTTTGATTCCTCAGCACCACGTAAGCAGAAAAAAAAAGCCAGAAGTGGCCGTGTGGCTCAAGTGGTAGAACCCTCCCCTTGAGCTGAAGAGCTGAGGGACAGTGCCCAGGCCCCAGCATTCAAGCCCCACGACCGACAAAAAAATAAAAAATAAAAAAATTTGGTGCCAATCCTCAAGATCTGAATTCATATCCTGGATGCTGTCCTCAAGGCTAGCAACACTCTACCACTTAAGCCACTGTGCCACTTCTGGCTTTTTCTAAGATAGGTGAGATTTTTGAAGCTTCAATGGATATCAGATGACATGACTTTAAAGTTCATGTAGCATAGCCTTCTGACAGGAGTGTGTCCATGCTCAGAATCTAAAAGTTTTTAGGCTGCACTGAGTTCAGCTGTCCTCCACGTTGTTTTGCATATGGAATTCTACCACTTGAGCCATACCTCAAACTCTCACTTTTTGCTGATTAATTGGAGATAAGACTCTTGCATTTGTCTTCAGTCCTCTATTCTCAAATCTCAACTTTTTAGTTGTTAGGATTACTGGTGTAAGCTACCTACACACACGGGCTGGCTTTAGGTTAGTTCTTAGAATGACTTCTGCAAACATTGTTATAAATGAACTTAAAATAACAAAATTTATTCTGACAAAAAAGACTTGCAAGTTAGAAAGTATTCCTTCAAGCCTGGCACTGGTGGCTAATGCCTGTAATCCTAGCTACTCAGGGGACTGAGAACTGAGGATTGCAGTTCAAAGCTAGCCCAGGCAGGAAAGCCTATGAGATTCTCCATTTAATCACTAGAAAACCAGAAATGGACCTTGTGGCTCAAAGTGTTGGAACATTAGCCTGGAGCACAAAAGCTCATGTACAGTGCCCAGGCCCTGAATTCAAGTCCCATGATTGACAAAAACAAAAAAACAAAAAACCTAATGTTCCTTAAAAGGAAATAGAACTGGAATTGTCCATTTATTTTTGGTTATTGTTTGTGCTGGTTCTGTGTATGTCAGTGCATTCTTTTCCGACTGCCTTTTTTTTTTTTTTGGTCGGTCCTGGGGCTTGAACTCTGGGCCTGGGCACTGTCCCTCAGCTCTTCAGCTCAAGGCAAGCGCTCTACCACTTGAGCTATAGCGCCACTTCCGGTTTTCTGGTGGTTTATTGGAGATAGGAGTCTCTCCTCCCCGGGCTGGCTTTGAACCGCGATCCTCAGATCTCAGCCTCCTGAGTAGCTAGGATTACAGGTGTGAGCCACCAGCGCCCGGCTTCTGACTGCCTTTTTTTGTATTGGTATTAGGACTTGAACTATGTAGTAGGGCCTTGAACTCTTGCTTGGCTTTATTTTGCTCAATATTAGTGCTGTCACTTGGGACACACTACCATTTTCCAGACAACATTCTTTTTTTTTTTTTTGGTCCGGTGGTGGGGCCTGAATTCTGGGCCTGGGCGCTGTCCCTCAGCTCTTCAAGGCTAGCACTCTTACCACTTGAGCCACAGTGCCACTTCCAGCTTTTTTTTTCTTTTTTGCTTATGTGGTACTGAGGAATCGAACCCAGGGCCTCGTGCATGCAAGGCAAGTGCTCTACCACTGAACCACCTTCCCAGCCCTTAGACAACATTTTTTTTTTGGAGGGGGGGTCCGGTCGTGGGGCCTGAACTCTGAGCCTGGGCGCTGTCCCTCAGCTCTTCAGCTCAAGGCTAGCGCTCTATCACTTGAGCCACAGCACCACTTCTGACTTTTTTCTTTTTGCTTATGTGGTGCTGAGGAATCGAACCCAGGGCCTCTGGCATGCAAGGCATGCGCTCTACCACTGAGCCACCTTCCCAGCCCCTGCCATCCTCACTTGTAACTTTACTCTTCCCTCAAGCCACCTTTTTCTTTTGTATTTTTGAGTGTGCCCGTACTGGGGCTTAAACATAGAGCCTTGCGCTCTAACAATAATCTTGCTTTACCACTTGAGTTACATTTTACTTAACTCATCTGTACTTGGGCAGCTATTAAGCAAGTTTCTGTTTCTGCATCTGTACATTTGAACCCATGTGACTGAAATTCTATAATAAATGGCATTCTGTGACTGGTGTAACATGACATTTTCAGTGTTCATTTATGTTATATCACATGTACTTCATTCCCTTTATTAACAAATAGCCCATTGTGTGACATGCCACATTGTGATTATTATTTCATCATTTTGTGTTTTCACTTTTTCAGTAATACCACTGTAGCTAGTGGCTCACATGTTTAATCCTAGCTATTCAGGAGATAGAGATCTGAGGTTTGTGGTTCTAAAAATCAGCTGTGCAGGGAACTCTGTTAGTCTTACCTCCAAATTAATCAGCAAAACCTGGAATTGGAGATGCAGATGAAGTGATAGACCAAGCTAGCCCCAGGGCTGGCATGCAAAGAAATAAGAGTACTACCACTCTAAAATGCATTTTCATATTTTTATGCATTTTCATATTTTTAGGTAAATATTTAGCTAGAATCAGATTTCTTGGTTATGCTTCACCTTTGGAGGAAGTACAAGGCTAGTCACAGTAGAGGACTGCTTTATGAAGCCATTATTACAAGTTGTATTTTGCTCACATCCACTCATTACTTGGGTTTATACTTCTAGCCATTGTAATGAGTCTGAAAAGAGAATGATAGCATTGTGGTTTGCATTTTCCTTGTGGTTAATAGTTGCGGACCTCTCAGGCTCCTGTGGGCCATCTTTGGAAGACTAGCTGTTCAAAACATGTGTTTTTTTTTTTTTTTTTTTAAATTTGTAAAGCAGTGTGTGTTGATTGGAGCTTAAACACAGGGCCTGGGCAATGTCCTTGAGCTTTGCTCAAGGATAGCACCCTACCACTTGAGCCACAGCTCCACTTCTAGCTTTTTTTTATAGTTCAGTGGAGACATGAACCTCAAGATTTTCCTGTGGGCTGGCTTTGAACCATGATCCTCAGATGTAAGCTTCCTAAGTAGCTAGGATTAGAGGTGTAAGCCATGGACACCCAGCTGTTTTTGTATTTCAACCATAAAGGGATGTGATCCTTCGTTCTCACAATGCAAAGAGATGACATTCTTTTCTTCCTAGTTACTTATTTCAATGTTAAGGCTATTGGTAGTTACCAAGTAGAAGTTTTTGTTTAGTTTGTGTATTTTTAATCATAAAAGAATGTTGGATTTTTTTTTTCATGCTTTCTATGCATCCATTGAGATCATGTAGTTTTTGTCCTATAAAATCCTTTATTCGTTAATACTACTTTTTTTTTGCTATTGAGCCAGCCTTGTATTTAATTTACAATGTTTAGTTACATCAATGTGACATGTGATTAACATGCTGTTGGATTTGGCTTGCTGGTATTTTCTTTAAAGATTTATATTTGGGGCTGGGAAGGTGGCTCAGTGGTAGAGCGCTTGCCTTGCATGCATGAGGCCCTGGGTTCGATTCCCCAGCACCACATAAGCAAAAAGAAAAAAAGCCGGAAATGGCGCTGTGGCTCAAGAGGTAGAGTGTTAGCCTTGAGCTGAAGAGCTGAGGGACAGCGCCCAGGCCCAGAGTTCAGGCCCCACGACTGGACCCCCCCCAAAAAAAAGATTTATATTTATGACAGGAAGTGGATAAATGGAAGGGGAGGGATTGAGAAAAATACAGTCAACAATATACATGTAGTAATAGTGGGAGATTTAGTAAAAGTGGGAAATGTAAAATGAGTAGGGGATTAAGGGTAGAGGGAATGAGAGAATGATGGAAGAGGTGACTGATTAAGAACCACTGCACACAAATGGACATTTTAAATGATAATCCCCTTGTATATACAGTTGAGGTTAAATACTTAAAAAATAAAGAATTATGTTTTAAGAGATTGGCTTGTCATTTTTTTCTGCTTTGGGATTAGCATAATATCAGTGTAATATCGATCGCATAAAATTCAATTGAATAGCTTCCTACTCTGTTTTTTGAACACTTTGTATGTAGTAGGGTTCCCCAATTAAGGCAGCACCCCAATATTGGGTCCATGATCAAAAGAGCAAAATCGACACAAAACGAAAATTAGGCAAACTTTATTTCCATGCCTAGCATTGGGAAACAGATTGGCTGGTCAGGGACCACCTTGGCAGAGACAGACCCTGGGCAGTTGTCCAACCCCGTTTTTATTATAACTAGCCATATCACTTACAGGTGACCAATAACTTTATAACATTCATACAAATCTGCCACTCACCACTCGCAGGTGGCCAGTGAGGGTACAACTTATCGCTGAGTAGTTGTTCAAACTTGCCAATTACACGGCTTGGTTTTGGTGCGCAGGGGTTAGTAACTGGTGAGTAGGGGGCTACATATATGCTTGTTACTGATTGGATGCGTTCACCTGGCTCCTGGCCTTTGTTCTCTGAGCTCTGTTACCAGCAATTTACAGCCCATACTTGACTAAATTTCCTGGGTTTGTTAGTTCCTCAGAGCTGATTCTGTTCCTTGGGTGACAGGGTTAATTTTTGTTTAGACAGGATGGATATTTTACTGGTCAGGTACTCTTTGGCACTAATGTGAGGACAGGAAATGCTTATAGGAGGGTAGCACGTACTCTCTGAGTACTGTTTTTAGAATGGGGTCCCAACAGTGTAGAATTTTCTATTTAGATATTGGCCTGGGACAGAGTTTTACTATGAGGTCCAGTTTGAACCCGAACTCTTGATCTTCTGCCTCAGCCTCCTAAGACTGTTGAATTTACAGGTTGTGGGCCACCACATCTGACCTATGGAATTAGTTTTTTGTTTGTTTGTTTTGGTGGTTGTGGGGCTTGAACTCTGGGCCTGGGCGCTGTCCCTCAGCTCTTCAGCTCAAGGTGAGTGTTCTACCACTTGAGCCACAGCACCTCTTCGGCTTTTTCTGCTTATGTGGTGCTGAGGAATAGAACCCAGGGCCTCATGATGCATGCGAGGCAAGAACTCTACCACTGAGCCACTTTCCCAGCCCCTGATTTTTTTAATTGTTGTTTGTGGGGCTTGAACTCAGGGCCTGGGCACTGCCCCTCAGCTCTTCAGCTACCACTCTACCACTTGTGCCACAACGCCGCTTACTATGATTTTATAGAGAAGTTGTCTGGATCTAAACATTTTTTTTGTGGGTAGTTGTTTGGTTACTATTAGTTATGATTTGAATATGAAATGTCCTCCATAAAGATGAACTAGTTGCATCTTAAAGCTATGTCCCCAGCTGTTGAGTCTATTTAAGGGGTAGAGCATCTTAGAGGAAATAGGTCACTGAATATGTGATGGGTGCAGTTGCGCATCTTGGTCCCTTTCTTTGATCTGCAATGAGGTGAACAACTTTGCTTCTTTACTCCGTTTGGCCATGATTTGTGCCCACTATGGCTCAGAAACAAGTTGGTCATAACCTCTGAAACCATTAACTACTAAAATAAGCTTCCCTCTTTTTTTTTTTTTTTTCCTTAATGCCGGTCCTGGGTTTGACATTCAGGGCAGGGTGCTGTCCCTGGTAGTTCTTTGAAGAGAGAGTCTCAGAGACTTGCCTGCCTGGGCTGGTGTCAGATCTCCCCTTTCTGAGTGGTTAGAATTACTGGTGTGAACCACTAGCACCTAGCTTCTCTCCTTAGATGGGTAATGTCACATGTCTTGTCACAGTGACAAACTGATATTCTAGTGAAATTTCTAGATGATTTATATTTCCCATTGGATCAGATTTGGCCAACTATGGGAAATTGTCCAATACTACCAGAGAGTTGTTCACAAGTATTCCTTGCTCCTTTCCCTTTTTTGATGGTTCTGAGAATTGAGCTCAGCAGCCAGTTGTATTATCTTAGTTATTTCACTTGAGGTGTGCACTCTTACCATTTGAGCTATACCCCATACCTCCACTTCTAGCTTTTTGCTGGGTAATTGGAGATGAAGCTCATGGATTTCTTTCTGCAGACTGGCTTTGAACGGAGATCCTTTTTTTTTTTTTTTTTTTTTTTCTATTTCTGGTCGTGGGGCCTGAACTCTGGGCCTGGGCGCTGTCCCTCAGCTCTTCAGCTCAAGGCTAGCACTCTACCTCTTGAGCCACAGCACCACTTCCAGCTTTTTTCTTTTTGCTTATGTGGTGCTGAGGAATCAAACCCAGGGCCTCAAGCATGCAAGGCAAGTGCTCTACCACTGAGCCACCTTCCCAGCCCTGAACCTAGATCCTCTTATGTCTGCTTCCTGAGTAGCTGAGATTATAGGTGTCAAGTAGCAGGAAAAGAATATTCATAGGAAAAATGCAACTAGATCCTAGTTCAGACTTTGTGTTCCAGACCTTTCCTCCAGGAGCTGGATGGATGCAAACTTTAGCTGTGCAGTGCAGAGTCACATGGTCTCTGAAAACAAAAGTATAAAAACTGGTGGGGCAACAGTGCCTCGCCTGTAATCCTAGCTACTCAGGAGGCTGAGATCAGAGGATTGTGGTTCAAAGCCAGCCTGGGCAGAAAAGTCCCCATGAGACTCTTATCTCCAGTTAACTACTCATAAACCAGAAGTGGTGCTGTGGCTCAAGTGTAGCGTTCTAGCCTTGAGCAAAAGAGCTTAGGGACAGGGCTTAGGCCCTAATTTCAAACTCCAAGACTCTCGCAAAAAAATTTTTTTTGTTGTCAGTCCAGTAGCTTTAACTTAGGGTCTAGATGCTGTTCCAGAACTTCTGCTTAAGGCTAACCCTCTACCACTTGAGGCACAGAGCCACTTCCAGCCTTTTCTGTTTATGTGGTACCGAGCAATCGAACCCAGGGCTTCTTGCATGCTAGGCAAGCACTCTACCACTAAGCCACATTCCTAGCCCAAATTTTTTTTCTTTTTAAGAAATTAAATTTGTACAAAGTCCAATTTTTAAAATTGTTATTATCAACGTTGATATACAGAGGTGTTAACAGTTGTATAGGTCAGGTAAAGTGTATATTTCTTTTTGGGCAATGTCACCCTTCCCTCAATCTCTCCCAGTTTTCCCCTCCCAGCCCCACCCACATGTCATTTTCAGCCTAGTGTCCAGTGAGTACCACTGTTGCGTTTGTTCACCCTTTGCCCCTCCATTTCTGTTTTGGTCTGTTTGTGCTATGTAGTTGATGCTGACCTGGAAGTGACAGTGCTCCTGCCTCTGCCTCCTGGAAAGGCAGCAGCACCACACCTGCTATCCTGCTGCCATCAAACTGCCACCTATGCCTGGCGTATTGTCAGGGCTTTCCAGATGGTTAAGACCACCACCCTCCAAGAGATTGCATTTCTTTCAGGTACTGCCTACAGGGTTTTAAAATGACATACGTGGTAACAGTCCAAGGCTCAGTGACACACTTGTTGGTTCGTTGTATTTTCTCTGTGGTGCAACCTTTTCCTTCTAGGGAATGATAGAAGCATGATAGTTAGGGATTGCCTGCTGTGTGTGTGACTATGAAGTAATTGGGCACCAACCTACCTATGTTCACTGCACCACAGTATATAGTGGTGAATGGATCAAGAAAGTGTGTATATTTATATCCACATGCTTTTTTTATTATTATAAAGGTGATGTGCAGAGGTGTCACAGTTAACATACGTCAGGTAATGAGTGGACTTCACTTACACTTCACTTACACAATGACACCCCTTGTCTCACCTCCCAGTTGTTTTCCCTCTCATCCCTAACTACAAGTTGTATAGTTCATTTTCCACAGTCTCATGCTTTTACCTGCAGTGGCTTTGGACTTTTAAGCTTTTGCTCTTTCCTGTCTTCATTTCCCAAGCTGCTTTTGGCAGCACTTCACAACATTCCTTTGACAGTGGGAATTGTCAGCATGCCCAGTCTTCTTATGGGGGAGGTAGAGGGGTCATTGTTAAATAGTCTGTTGTAGAGTATTTGCTCTAAGTGCAAGTCCCTGGTGTGAGGAAGGAAGTAGAGAGGGGAGATGAGGAAGGAAGGAATTAAACAATTGTTCTTGGCACTGGTGGTACATATCTGTCTGTCCTCCCAGAGGAGGCTTGAGATCCGAGGATTACGATTTGAAGCCAGATGGAACAGGAAAGTACACGAGACTCTTACTTCTAAACACCAGAAGTAGAGCTCTGCCTCAAATGGTAGAGCATCAGCCTTAAGCAAAAAAGCTCAGGAACACTCATGAGGCCCTGAGTTGAAGCTCCAGTATCAACACCAAAATAAAGTTATCTAGTCCAAAAGTACTATGACACATAGTCTCAATCATAGGTCATCGGGACAGCTCCTAAGGGGCTAGACAGTGGGTAATAAAGAGCTACACATACTTGGCAAAGGAATGATTCGTTTTCTAAAGAGGATGGTGGTAGAGTGGAGAGTCCATTATACTACTTCAAAGGGCACCCATTATAAGTGATCAGGAGTTGTTTTACTCCTGGGGTTTTTTATTTAATACTTTTAAACTTTGACTATCTACTTATAACCAGCCATAGGAAAAATGTTCATACAGGGTAATTCAGTGCTTTCAGTAGCCAAGAAGAATCAAACAAGATGTCATGGAAGGTTAAGAAGAAAAGGAAGAGATATATACATACGAAATGAGAGCACTGGTGGCTCACACCTGCAATCATAGCTACTCAGGTTGAGGAAATTGGAAATTGAGATGCGAATATTGTGATTGAAAGCTGGCTCTTTTTTTCTTTCTTTTTTTTTTTTTTTGCTGGTCGTGGATCTTAAACTCTGGGCCTGGGTGCTGTCCTTGAGCTGCTTTTACTCAAGGCTAGCATTCTACCACTTGAGCCACAGTGCTACTTCCAGCTATTTCTGTTTATGTGGTACTGAGGAATCAAATACAGGGCTTCATGCATGCTAGCAAGCACTCTACCACTGAGCCAAATTCCCAGCCTGTCCTTGAGATTCTTAGCTCCAATTAATCAAAAAGCTGGAAGTAGACCTTGGCTCAAGCAGTATTGCACTGTTCTGTGAGCAAATAAATAAAAATAGAGCGCTTAGGCCCAAGTTCAAAGCCTAGAATACTTTTGAGTTATGACAGTGTCTTTGCAGCAACATGAATTGAGCTAGAGATCATTTAGTGAAACAAGCCACTCATAGAAGATAAGAGGTCAGTTTCATAGCAGGTAGAAAATAGTGGTTCTTAGAGACTGGGAAGGACATTGACACAGAGAGGGCATACCATGATACAACTAGATTGGAGGAATTCAGGGATTTGGTGTCACTGTAACCCAGGCCAGACTCCCGAGTGCTGGCACTACAGTATAATTAACCACTGGGCCCAGCTTAGTGCCAGTTTTCTGTAACCAGGTCATAACAATCTTATATTCTGTCATTTTGTTACTTTTTTTCTCTGATGTATTTCAAAATAGTAAAGGGTAGGAAAGTTACAAAAACAAATGAATATTTAGGAGCTAGAAGTGTTTATTCCCTTATCTATTAATGCTGGGGCTTGAACCCGGGACTTGGCACTCTAATTGGCTTTTTCTCACAACGCAGGCACTCAGCTGCTTCAGCCATACCTCTACTTCTGGCATTTTTCAGGTTCATTGGAAATGAGTCTGAGCAGGAGTCTCAGATTTTAGCCCCAGGCATAGCCACCATTGGTTGGTGGCTTCTGTACTTATGGAATAACTGTGCTATTTGATCCTGTTATGCAGATGATAAATATGTAATAGTCTGACACTGCTTGATCTCATTGCAGGACTGCTGACCAACCTTTGCACCACTTGACGAGTGCTTGGACTATGCAGTCTCATCTACAGTGACTGACAAACCACATTGTGCACAGAGGACACATAATGGACAATTAGCCACCCTTCTATAAGTTAAGGTACTCTAGTTTTCTTGTGTTTTTTCTTTCTGTAGTCCTGTCTAGAAAGTAAACAGATACAATGTGTTCCAGAATTTTACTTCCTTGATGCATATTCTATCTATTCTATTCTTCACTTTATCCTGTTTTTTATTCACTCCTGTTCTTTATTGAAAGCAGAGAAGTAGAAGTCTTTGTCTCATTAAATTGCCTTGTCTTTGTGGCTCTCTCTTGGTACACATAGGTTTACAATATCTTTAAACTCAGTACCATATACTTGCTAGGGAAGCATTTGAGCCACCACCCAGTCCTTTAATTGCTATATCTGTAGCCAAGTATGATAGTACACTATTTGTCCCAAAACTCTGGAGGCCAGAGTAGAGGATTGTAAGTTAGAGGACAGTTTGTACAGAGCAAGTCTTATTCCACTAGCAAGTCTTACTCCAGCCTGGGTGCACAGCTAGACTATGTCTTATAACAAAAATAATAAATAGCCAGGCACTGGTGGCTCACGCCTGTAATCCTAGCTACTCCTGGGGCTGAGATCTGAGGATCATGGTTCAAAGCCAGCCCAAACAGGAAAGTCCATAAGACTTTTACCTTGGAAAACTGGAAGTGGTGCTTTAGCTCAAATGGTAGAGCGCTAGTCTTGAGCTGAATAGCTGTGGGACAGCACCCAGGCCCAGAGTTCAAGTCCCAGGACCAGAAAATAAATAAATAGATGCATCAAAACATTTCTTGGTTTGAGTGTAGAGCCAGTAGTAAGAATGTCCTGCTGGATATATAAGTATAGCCCTGTAAAGGAGAAGCTCACCCTGTTGACCGTTCATTACTAGATTTATTTTGCACTAGACAGTACAGTTTATATTAAAAGAAGAACCTGGGGCTGGGAAGGTGGCTCAGTGATAGAGTGCTTGCCTTGCATTCTTGAGGCCCTGGGTTCAATTCCTCAACACCACATAAGCAGAAAAAAAAAAGCTGGAGGTGGCACTGTGGCTCAAGTGGTAGAGCACTAGCCTTGAGCTGAAGAGCTGAGGGACAGTGCCCAGGCCCAGAGTTCAGGCCTCACGACCAGACCCAAATAAATAAATAAATAAAAGAAGAACCTGGATTTATGGTTGAAAGAAATATGAAGGGACTGGGAAGGTGGAATAATGGAGGTGATATTAGAATTTGATTCTTTTAAAATTTATTTTTGCTCGTCCTGGAGCTCGAACTCAGCCTGGGAACTGTCCCTGAGTCTGTGCTCAAGGCTAGCACTTTACCACTTGTGCCATAGTACCACTTCTGACCTTTTCTGTTTACCTGGTACTGAGGACTCCAACCCAGGGCTTCATGCATGATAGGCAAGCACTCTACCACTAAGCCACATTCTCAGCCTAGAATTTGATGGTTTTTGTTTTTTGTTTTGGTCCGTCATGGGGTTTGACCTGTGGGCTTGGGCGTTGTACTGTCCTTCCGCTCTTCAGTTCAAGGTTAGTGCTCTATAACATGAGCCACAGAGCCACTTCTGATTTTCTGATGGTTTATGGGAGATGAGAGTCTCACAGATTTTCCTGTCCTGGCTCACTTTGAACCACGATCCTCAAATCTCAGTCTCCTTCTAGCTAGGATTACAGGTGGGAGCCTGTGGTGCCTGACTTAGAATTTGGGACAGTGCCCAAGCCCCAGGACTAATAACTGAAACAAACAAAAAACATGTAAACCCATATCCAAATTAAAGGAGTAAGATTTCATGACAACCTCTTTGGACAGTTAGAGCCTGAATTTCAGGAAGCAGAATATGTCTTGTCAGGAGGGGTGGGCTAAAGAGGGATGGACAAAGAGAGGAATGGTATGTTAATACAGTCATAATACTCAATATACATCCATGAAAATGGAACTGGGAAATATGAGGCAAGTGGGGGGGGGGGGTCAAGTAGAAGTAGGGGATTAAGACCCCTTATACACATAAATAGATAATACCACATTGAAAGTCCCGTACAGCTATTCAGAGATACTAGAAGAAAATTTATTTTAAAACCTTCCCCACAAAAAATACATAGTTGTGGGGATGGGAAGGTGGTTCAGTGGTAGAGTGCTTGCCTTGCATGCATGAGGCTCTGGGTTCGATTCCTCATAACATAGCAGAAAAAGCTGAAAGTGGCGTTGTGGCTCAGTTGGTAGAGCACTAGCCTTGAGCTGAAGAGCTGAAGGACAGCGCCCAGGTTTGAGTTCAGGCCATAGGACCGACCAAAAAAAAAAAAAGTTGTGAAGCACCATAGAAGAGACAAGTTTATCCATGTTTGTGTGGGGGAGCATGGGAAATGGGAGTCTGGGGGCTCATTGTCTTGGAGACTGTGTGTGTGGGAATGACCCAATTGACACAGGTAGGTATCAGAAAAAAGGGAAGGATAATGCCAATTTTCTTATTGAGTTTTATTACTATTAATCTTTTGTGCTCAAGGCTAGCACTCTACCACTTGAGCAACAGATCAACTTCTGACTTTGGTGGTTAGTTGGAGATAAGACTCTCTTGGACTTTCTAGCTCTGGATTTAATCTTTTTCTAGAATGAGTCACACAACTCCATAAAAGCACATTGCTTATGTAGGCATTAGGTTATTATGAAGAGGTAGAGAACAGCTCAGGAACAATCACATGTACTCAGCAGCCTGAGATCTGAGGATCATGGTTGGTACAAAGCCAGTCTGAGACTCATTACCGTTTAACCAACATAAAGCGAGAATGGACCTGTGGCTTAAGTGGTATAGCACTAACCTAGAGTGAAAAAAGGAGCAGCAAATGATCCCTGAGTTGAAGCCTCAGCATGAGCACACACACATGAGCATTTCTCTCACTCAGGAAATGCCAAGGCTTTGAGCATGTGCAAGGAGTTTCAGAAAGACAAAATAGATTTCTCTTTTTACTTCTAAAGCAGAATGCTAGCAGGCAGTGAGCCAAGATATCCTGGGTGTAACAAGTGGAGAACAAACTGATTATAGACAGTGTGTTTGGACAGCATTTTTTTAAGGTCTTTTTATGTTTTGTTTTTGACACGGAGGTCTCATGATGTTGCCCAGATAGGCCTTACTTTTCCAATCCTCCTTGCCCAGTCTCCTGCTAGCTGTGATTACAGGTCTGTGTTGTTGTATTTATTTTTATCAAGAAATTTTGTGAGAATACAAGGTGACAAGGTAACATTTTATGTCCCTAGGAGATAAAGAAATTAAAGATATACAATAAGAACTTTTGTTTTTTTGGTGCTAGTACTAGTGCTTGAACTCAGAACATGGACACTGTTTGTAAGCTGTTTTATATATATATTTTTGCTCTAGGCTAGAGCTCTACCACTTCAGACACAGTCCCACTTCTGGCTTTTGAGTGGTTCGGTTGACAAAGAGTCTGGCAGACTTTGAACCTCAGATTTTAGCCTCCTGAGTAGGTTGGATTACAGATGTGAGCCACCAATGCCCAGTAATAATTTTTTTTATTTTTACTGTATTTGCAAAGTTTCATTGTTTGCTTACAGCTAGAATGGATTGCTTAAAGAATTTTTTGACTTAATTTTTTTGCCAGTCTTGGAGTTTGAACTCAAGGCATGGGCACTGTCCTTGACAATCTCTGTGCTCAAGGCTGGCACTCTACGCACTCTACCATTGGCACCAAAGAACACTTCCAGCTTTTTCTGTGTATGTGGTACTGAGGAATCGAACCTAGGGCTTCATGCAGTCTAAGCAAGCACTCTTACCACTAAGCCACATTCCTAGCCCCATAAAGAGGTTTTTTTTTTTTTGTCAGTCTTGTGGCTTGAAGAACTGCATGTGGGCGCTGTCCCTCAGCTCAAGGCTAGTGTTCTACCACTTGACCCACAGTGCCACTTCCAGTTTTCTGAGTGGTTTATTGGAGTTAAGTCTCATGGACTTTCTTGAATTTTTTGCCCAGGCTGGCTATGAACCACAATTCTCAGGATTCAACCTCCTGAATAGCTAGGAGTGAGCCACCAGTGCCTGGCCCTAAAGTGTTTTTTTAATGAGCAAATTCAGGGTCAAGGATTTAGCTCAAGCCAGGCAACAGTGGCTCTTGCTTGTAATCCTTGCTACTCGCTTGGGAGGCTGAGATCTGAGGATCACCATTCAAAGCCAGCCCAGGCAAGAAACTCTGTGAAACTCTCATCTCCAATAAATCACCAGAAAACCGGAAGTGGCACTTAGCTCAAGTGGAGCTCACTGTAGAGCGCTAGCCTTGAGCTGAAGAGCTGAGGGACAGTGCTTAGGCCCAGAGTTCAAGCCCTAGGACCGACAAAAAAAGAAAAATTTAGCTCAGTGGTAGAATAAGTGCTTACCATATCTGAGTCTCTGGGCTTCATGTCCAGCACTATAAAAAAATAAAAGTTGTACTAAGTGAAACCTGAAAGTGAGTGCTGCTTAAATATAGCAATGATAGCCAGGTGCTAGGGAGAAAAGCCCATGAGACTCTTATCTCCAAGTAACCACTAGAATACCTGAAGTGGTGCTATGGCTCAAGGGGTAGAGCACTCGCCTTAAGCTGAAGAGCACAGGGACAGCGTCTAATCCCAGAGTTCAAGCCCCATGACCAACAAAAATAAATAAATGATAACCCTGACTGCATGTGTGATGGATCCACTATTACACATCTCATTACTTTTCATCTATGATTAACGATGTAGTTGGTCTATTCTAAAGCTTCAGTAATGACATGATTTGCTATAAATTTTCTATGTAGACAAAGCAGCATTCGTTTTAATTTTTGGTGCTGGTCCAGAGATTGAAGTTAGGAACTGGGAGCTGTCCTTAGCTTTTTTTGCTCAAGGCTAGGGCTCTATCACTTGAGCCACAGTGTCACTTCCAGCTTTTTTTGAGTAGTTTATTGGAGAAAGTCTGACAGTTTTCCTGCCTGGCTGTCTTCAAGCTAAAATCCCCAGATCTCAGCCTCTTTCCGTAGCTAGTATTAACACCTGAACCAAACAGGATTTGAAACAATTTTTTTTTTTTTTTTTTTGTCGGTTGTGGGGTTTGAACTCTGGGCCTGGGCACTGTCCCTCAGCTCAAGGCTAGCGCTGTACCACTTGAGCTACAGCGCCACTTCCGGTTTTCTGGTGGTTTATTGGAGATAGGAGTCTCACGGTCTCTCCTGCCCGGGCTGGCTTTGAACCGCGATCCTCAGATCTCAGCCTGCTGAGTAGCTAGGATTACAGGCGTGAGCCACCAGCGCCTGGCTCGGATTTGAAACAATTTTAACACTTTTCATTTTAATCTTTCTTGAAGGTTCATGACATTCAGAGCACCACAGTGCTCCTCTATCAGATCAGCTATGAACTGGAATACGAAACCTCCGTCATACTCGAAAAGTCAGTCATCTTTGTTGCATAAGTGGCTAAGGAACCAACTCAGTCCAGTGACTCAGAGTTCTTTCAGCTCTCCTGGAAGTTCACAGGAGCCATGCATGTATTCCAGTGAGTCACATCCAGCCTCGCAGCCACTGCTGAACATCCCAAATTATACAACTCAACTCTTAGATACTAATGTGCAGAACAGGATCCCTGTATCCCCACAAACTTCTCTCGAACAAAGAACTTATACAAATGTTTCTGGACCCCAACTCCCAAATCTTAATTTGCAAAAGTCAACCGGCATTATGCACAATGTATGGTTGAATTCGCCCATGACAATTTCTCTGCCTTATTCAGAGGTAGCTGTAGCTCATCAAACTAACTTGGGAACTAAAATGCCTAATGTCCACACCCTACAGGGTCACATTGTCCCAGCAGAAAGTTATACCGCGCAACTACAAATGGCTCCTTCAAGTTCTTTAAGAAGTTCTGTATCTGTTCAAGGAAATGAGAGAATGAACCCTTCGCTATTAGATGCACAGCAGTATGTGTCTCCTGAGCTGACATACCCAGATTACAGGCCACTTCCAAAGCAGTACTCCCATTCTACTCCACAGGCCGTAGTACAAGAACCCAGTATTCAGAAACTAACCCCTACGCCATCTACATCATTGCAAGTTCAAAACAGCCTGCTTCCAGTTCCTACACAGACTATACAGCCAATGGAGACTGTAGCTATAACAACCTACCAGTGTACTGCAGAGAAAAGACCCCTGCCCCCACCCTACCAACGTCATTACAGAATCCAGCCTCTTCCTAGAGCTCAGCCTGTTAATAAACAATTGTCCTCAGTGGACGTCTCCCCAAATCCAGACGTCGCCTCCTATGGAAATGGGAAAGACTTATGTAAAGGCCTTCCTCAGCAGTGGCAAAGCACTAATGAAAATAGACACACACATGAGAAATTATATAATTGGCAAGTAAATATCAATGTCAAGCAGCCTTTTAATGAGCCAGTGGAATCTGTGGTTAGTATGCAGACGCTCCCTGCAAGTAATCAAGGGCGAATGGATTCTTACATCCCAACTTCAGGTCAAATATTGAACTCCAATGATGTCACAAAAGAAAAAATTGTGCGGGATTTTAAATCACTGGTAGAAATAAAAAGGAAGTTTTCAGAACTTGCAAGGAAAATTAAAATTAATAGACATCTTTTGAAGGCAGCAAGTAGTAAAACTGAGAATACCATGTACACTGGGCCACCTCGGCCTTCTGAATTGTCTGCCAGAGCCATGCCTGCTAAAAGTGATGGCAACTGTTCCATGGAACTGCTAGCCACGTGCCTTTCTCTTTGGCAAAAGTCACCTGCACAAGCAACAGATGAAAGTGCTTCAAAGCTTTCCATGGAAAACCAGAGTGTTGTACCCACCACAAGCACAGCAGTTGGAGTCTCCGAGCCTGTGAAAGAAGTTCCTGGGAAGAGGCTTGCTTTGGTTGAGGGAAATTCTCACAACAAAATGACCAGCCCTTCCCAAGTGACAGCTTTGTCCTTGGTCATGACCCCGAGCTTTGAGTCCCCTGCTGTAAACACAAAGGGAACAGAACCTCAGGTTGCAGTGGTTTCACCCTTAATTCTTAGTCAGGACAAAAACTTGTCTGTCAGAGGAGTGGCACTGGAATCCCCAAGCGAGCCAGTCTATCCAGTTATTAAAGAAGGAAGCATCTGTAGCTTACAAGATCAACTAGCACAGAATACAAGAATACCTGCTGTTACACATGTTGATGTGAGTGGTTCAGGAGCAAGTGGATTGAGCAGACATTTCTCACTTGAGAAGGAAAAGCAGAATGAAACAGGTAGTGGGAAGTCACAAGACCCACCTAATACTGATCTGAGTAAACTCTCACAAATTGAGAAGGAAAGGCAGAATGAACCAGGTATTGCAAATTCAGGAGACCCACTCAATGCTGATTTGAGCAAACTTCTTTCATTTATTGAGATGGAAAAGCAGAATGATCAAGGTGTTGGGAATTCAAAAGAACAACTTAAAGCCGATCTAGGAAAGCAGTCTCCTATGGGTGATCAGCAAACTTTGTGTAAATCAAAGCACAGTTCTTTTGTGAGTTGTGATATGTTACAGATTGGAAATATTTGTTCTCTTGTTGAAGGTAATGTAGCTTATGATTCCCAAATAGCAAACATGTTCAAATCTTCCCATTTGAAAAAGATTGAGGCACATGAAATTTCTCCACCCTGTCCACAAATAATCAATTGTGAACAGCAAAAAGTACATCATGCCTGTGAGAAGAAAAACTTTGATTTCCAAAAAGAGCAGTTTGTACCCAGCTCAGATAATCTTCATCAAATAACTGACCAATCAAAGTCTCAAGAGCCATCACCTGGTCAGAATGGTGATGCAAACAGAAAAGCTGAAGAGAAAAACGTGGACTGTACTACTCAGGAAGGCCCACCTCAGGACATGTGTTACTCATCTCCTATTCAGCCAAATACTTCTTCTCAGGAAACCCTTGCATCTGGCAGTAATATTGCCAAAGATCCCACAATACACGAGAGTTTCGATGATTCTGTCTCGTACCTGCAAGACCAACTATCCGAACTTTTAAAAGAGTTTCCCTATGGCATTGAAGCCATGGACACACACAAAGGGTTTGTGGACCAACAAAAGACAGCACAAGTCTCAGACAATCAGAATGTCAGTAAAATGGCTTCTTGCCCTAAGGAGTCTACAGATCAAATACAGATAACCATCTTAAGCTCAGAGCAGATGAAAGAGATATTTCCTGAAGAACAAGGTCAACATTGTGTAGTTGAAAAATTAGAAGAACCTCAGAAAGAAAAGTCTTTATCACAGGCAGAGAACCAATGTGCCTCAGCAGCACCCATGGGAGAAAAAAGTTGTGAAAATAGGATGAACAAATTAGAAGAAGACAAAGTCCACTGCTGTGCTCTTGGCTGGCTCTCAGAACTTTATGAAGGAGTGCCCCATTGTCAATGTAAAGACAGTGAGAGCCCCACTAAACAGGAAGATGAGGGGAAAGGTCAGTGTTCACCTTCGAGAATTAGCACCTGTAAAGAAGGGGAGAGGGCCCCTGATGAAGATGTCACTATTATTGAATGTATTAGTGTTTCAAATAAGTCTAAGACTCCTCTCACTCCAAAGCCTCAGAAAAGTCATCTTCTTGAATTACTCAGCAATGGACAAAAAGACACGTCCAGAATAAAAAAGAGCCCACAGAGGACAGCAAAAGAATTACCTGATCACGTTTCTTCCAGGTGTGATGGTGACAATCAAAAGCATGCAACAAAGAAACAGGACAGCTCAGTAAAGATGAGACCAGAAAGGACTGATCACTCTTCATCTAAAGATGACAAATTAGATCCCTTGCAAGGTCAGACAAGAAAAGTAAAATGGAAATTCCATAACAGCACTGTTAACACCCATGGTAAAGTGATAAGCTGTAATGGGCCAGGTTTGCAGGAAAAGCTACCAAAGAACCACACCCCACAAGCCTCACAGACAGCTCCCGCCCTGAGTAATCCACAGAAACCAAACAGTTCCTCGGTGCAATCCACAGCACCATCAGAAAAACTAAAGTTCCGTGCTGGTGGTTCTAAAGTAAAATATCTGGAGAAAAGGAAGTTAAACCCAGGAAGCACATCGGATCTGGAAAGAAAGAAAAAAAAAGTGGATCACCAGGAGCATGGCCATAATGTGGAAAGTTCACCAAAATTAGGTAATGTTTTATCAAGCCAAAACAAAAAGGCCAGTGAGCAAGAGAAGGAATCCAATCCAATGTCCTCGAAAAGTAGAGTCATCACAGTGCAGGAGTATTTGAAAAGGCAGAAACAGAAACAGATGATGGAGGGTAAGTCCTCCAAGAAAACTTGTGTGGAAGGCGCACCATCTGATCCTCAAGCTTCGAGGTCCAGTAAATGCTCCATGCAAGAAGGGGGCAGTGAGAAACCAAGTGAGAGTTGCGACAGTCTTTCCAAAGAGCTGGTCAATATTTTGCCAAGTCAGGATAACCTTAAGATCCACCATCCCCCTAAGGAGTTGAAAAGACAAATCTCAAGAAATGTAAAAGAAAAAGTTGCTGGGAAGGAGCTCGACAAAACATGTCTTGATAAAAATAAATTAGAAAATACCTTGAGCATTAGAAGTAAGGAAGCAAGGGCCAGCCCAAGGACTCTGCAAGTAAAGGATCGGGGGAAAAGGTACCTGAACCGCGTGGCGTATAATTGCACAGAGGGAGAAAGCATTTGTCTCACCAAATTGGACAGCCTGCCACAGAAGCACCCTAAAGACAAGCTGATTCAGGAACCCAAACCAAAGGCTCTCTTTCCTGGAAAATCTAGCGTGTTGGAGTTTAAATTAGGCCCAGATTTGCTGTTAAAGAATACAAGCTCTGCTGAGGAACACAAAGACTTGAATGCCTGTCCTAGGAAAGAGCAGGCCCCTGTGCAAGGTCCAGTATGATTTTCTTGGCAAATGAGTAGCATCTTGTGCCTGGGTAGCCTGAAACGTGAATCTTACAGCAGTTACTTGGTACAGTTTGGGTAGTGTTTCTTCTGCATTGATGACCCCCTTATTGTTTTTCGCGTGAATTAAGTTTTGAAGTTGGGTGCTGGTGGCTCACATACGATCCTAGCTAGTCAGGAAGCTGAAACATGAGGATCATGGTGCCAAGCCAGCTGGGCAGCAAATTCTTTGAAGGATATATCTTCCATTAACCAGCAGAAAGCCAGAAGTGGAACTGTAGCTCAAGTACTAGAACACCACCCTTGAGAGAAAAAAATTGAAGCAATAGCACCCAGGCCCTCAGTTCAATCCCTGTGCTGACACAGATAAAAGATTTTTAAAACCATGCTGGGCAGTGGTTTCTCATGGCTGTAATCTTAGCTTCATGGGAGGCTGAGATCTAAGGATCATGGTTTGGAGCCAGACCACGTAAGACTCCCATCTCCAGTTAACTATCAGAGAACCAAAGTGCCGCTGTAGCTCAAGTGTAGAACACTGGTCTTGACAAGGAAGCTAAGGAGCCATTCTCAAATCCTGAGTTCAGGATCCAGTGCCAACAACAGAAAGAAAAACATGTATTCAGAAAAAGTATATACAACCATACATACATGTATTTAGGATACGTTAATTTGTATGTTTAGTACATATGTATCCATATATTTATGTGTGCATGCATATCTTATTCTGAGATACAGTGAAGCTGGCAGGGTTTATGGGAAATCATAGTCATTTCTGTGATTTTCTTATATTGGGATATGTGAAACTACCATAGCTAGGAAGATATATTGGCTTTAAAACTAGTGGTGATTTGCTCCTCAGTCTGAACTGTTGGTATGATTGACTCAGATGTGTTGCAGGTGCATTGGATGGAGCTGTTTTTTGCGATAGTACTGGGACTTGAACTCAAAGCCTCCTACTCTTTCTAACCCTTTTTGCTCAAGACTGGTGCTGTACCTCTTGAGCCATATGTCCACTTTAATATTTCCAGGCCCTTAAAAAAAAATGGCATGGTATACATTGATATGTCTTACTGTCTTGCAAAATATATTTTAGGCTTATGGCTTCATTATAATACTAAAAGATATAAAATATTTAAACAATTTCAGGAATAAAAAGTACAAAAGAAGACTGGTTAAAATGTGGAATGACAAGGAAAAGGATGGAAGAAAACCATCAAGAGATAGGTAAAATTACCTGTTTTCCATAATTTACTTTTTCTTCATGGTACTGAGGTTCAAACCCAGATTCAAACTTGACCCAAACCTCTAAACCCAACTTTTTGTTGTTGTTTTTTAATTTTTATTTGTCGTGTGTCTTGAACTCTGGGCCTGGTCACTGTTGCTCAACTCTTCAGCTCAAGGCTAGTGCTCTACCACTTGAGCCACATTGCCCACTTCCTACTTTTTCTGCTTATGAATTGCTGAGGAATCTAACCCAGGGCCTCATGCATGCAAGGCAAACACTCTACCACTGAGACACCTTCCCAAGGCCTCAAAATTTTATTCTTAATAAAATGACATATAGAGGTGTTCTGGTTATATAACTCATGAGTACATTTCTTTTTTTTTTTTTTAAGTTTTATTTTATTTGAGAACATACTGTACAGAGGGGTTACAATTACATGGGCAGGATAATGCATACATTTCTTACCAAGCATTGCAGCCTCCTCCTTTGTTTACCCTTCACCTCCCTTCCCAGCCTCCCCCCTCCCCCCCAACCCAATCATACCCCCCTCCCCCCACACACACCGACATTGTAAAGCTGGTTTTGACATGACATTTTAGTACATTTCTTTTTGGATAATTTCACCCCTCTTCCTGCTCTGTCCTATTCCTAATTTTTTTATCCAATTTGTCTTAATGTGTTTTATCCTTATTTTTAGTCATGGTATTTTTGTTTATGCTTGGTATGGGGACATATTAGTTTCTCTGCCATACCATCAGCCATGATGGTCATTTTATTTTTCTTTAAACAAGACCATATGCTCAGTGCTAGTAATTTATGCCTGTAATACTAGCTACCCTGGAGGCTGAGATCTGAGAATTGTGGTTTAATGCCAGCCTTGGCAAGAAAGCCCATGAGATTCCTATCCCCAATTGGCCACCAAAAACCCAGCAGTAGGGCTGTAACTCAAGTGCTAGAGTGCTAACGATAATTCCCAGGCCTGTAGTTCAACCACAGGACCAACAGATACCCACAAATCAAGGATATAATCTTGTCACGCCTGGGGGGCTGTGGGTTCCGTTACATTTCCTCCTCCATAGATATTTTAGGGTTTTATGTCTTTTGATCTCATAAGGGGTCAGTGTACCAATGCTTGAACTTGAACTCAGGGCCTGGTCATTTCACTTGGCTTTTTCACTCAAGGCTGGCACTCTTCCACTTGAGCCCCAACTCTACTTTCAACTGGTAGATAGTATTAGAGGCATAAGCCACTAGTGCCTGACTTCCATTTAGTTTTGATTGGTAGGTATTCATTGCATTTAACATTAAGCTTCTATCTTCTCAGACAAAGCTAAGTCAAAAATATGCAAGAGAAGCTTCAGTGCAGATGGATGTGAGACACGGGAAAGCCCAGGGAAAGATTCAACCAAGGCAGTGTTCCAGACCTACAAGCAGATGTACCTGGAAAAGAGAAGCAAGAGCCTTGGGGACAGTCCGGTGAAATGACCTGAACACATGTTTCTGGATTGGTTGACATTTTCTGTTTGGAATCCTTTTGCTGGACAATAACTCTCAGGATGGCCACAATCAAAAAATCTCAGCAGAGACTTCAGTGAGCACTTAGGCCATGTGCTTCATTGAAAATCACTGCAGTAGAATAGCACAACTATCAACAAAGGAAGATATTTTGTCAAGGCAAGCCATAAGTTAGTTGACATCCTTCTACATAGCTGACGTGTGTTCAGCTGTTAGTTTATTACTTTATGAAGATGGCTCTTACAGTCTGTCAGGCCCAAGTGAACACGGCGAGGCCATTGAGGACTTGTTTATTTAGCGAGGACTGTAAATGTATTTTTGTTAATAAGCTACATTAGCAAAACTTATTTTTCTGCAGTACCCACTATGAATGTCAAAGTATGTATATTAAGTATTTTATGACTAATTGTAGAGGGTTTTTTTTTTAATCCTAGATATCTTCTTTTTATACTTGGTCACCCAATTTTGGATTATGCCTTGACATTATTTTTCATACTTGAAAATAAACATTTATTTTTTGACAAATTATGAAGTTTTTATGGTTCCTTTTCTGATTTCTTACAAAAGAAAGTTTGGAGAATGGGATTCTACTTGAGCAGTTGTAAGCATTTCATAATTCAAGTGTGGGGAATTTATTTTTTGCTGGTGATAGGGTGTTCGAACTCAGGGCCTGGGCACTGTCCTATTTTGCTCAAGGCTAGCACTCTACCACTTGAGCCACAACATCACTTCATGCTTTTTCTGTTTATGTGGTACTGAGGAATCAAATCCCATGCTTCATGCATGCTAGGCAAGCACTCTACAATTAAGCCACATTCCCAGCCCCCAAAGTATTTTATTGTTTTGTCAGACATGGAGCTTGAACTCTGAGCCTGAGTGCTGTCCCTGAGCTCTTCAGGTCAAGGCTAGTGCTCTACAAAGGAAATTAGATACAGGAAAGTGCTAAAATTCACAGAAGACAAGATAGATCCTATTAAATACTTCCAGGATATTTGGGGGGGGGGGTGCGGGGGGAGGGTAGTGGTGGTAGTGGTGGTTACGCGTATACGTCAGTTCTGGGTCTTGAACTCAGCCTGGCCACTGTACTTGAGTTTCCTCGCTCAAGGTGAGTGCTCCACCTCTTGAACTACAGCTGCACTTCCAGCTTTTAGCTTTTTTCCTTTTTTTATTTTCTCTTTTTTCTCTCTCTGAATTTAGGTCTTAGTTATCTTCCCTCTCTTTCCTTCCCTGCCTACATTTCTCTCATCTTTTCTCCTCATGATTCTCCCTATACCTCTTAATTTCTGGTCCACTGGCTCACTCTTTGGTTTTCTTAGTCCATTGATCCCTAGTTGTTTGTTAAGCTATACTGTACCTGTAATCATTTTGGCTGTATCAAAAAATCTGCAGGCTGGGAAGGTGGCTCAATGGTAGAGTGCTTGCCTTGCATGCAGGAGGCACTGGGTTCGATTCCTCAGCACCACATAAGCAGGGAAAAAAAAGCCAGAAGTGGCGCTGTGGCTCAAGTGGTAGCCTTGAGATGAAGAGCTCAGGGACATTGTTCAGGCCCCACAACCAACAAAATACTAAAAAAATTTAAAAAATAAATCTGCAACTACAGGGCTCTGGGTTGGAGCTTGCCTTAAAATAGTGTTATAGCTTGGAATTGGTTTTGCCTTTTACCTAAATGGGCAGAACAAGCTGTAGAAGCACAAGAAAAATGGTGAGCCAATGAACCTCAACTCCCATTCATGGTAAACAAGTATCAGAGCAGTTAATGAATAACCCAGAGAGTTCTCAAAATGCTTTACAAACACTATTGGTAAACGATGAATGCATAGATTGAAAGCCTGCAAAGGGCTCTGTTTGAGCGTGATAGGGCAATGAGTCAGCCTAACGAAAGATTAATAAAGGAATTCATGGAATCCACAAACAGCTGAATGAATTCCAACCACTCCCAACCTTTCATTAATTGGAGATAAGAGTCTCACAGAAGCCCTAGTGCAGTTGGCTCACACTCAGAGTTCAGATCTGAGGCTTGAGGTTCTAACCCAGCCCAGGCAGGAAAGTCTGTGAGAACCCACCACCAGAAAGCTGGAAATGGCACCATGGCTCAATGTGGTCGAGTGTTACCCTTGAGCAAAAGAGCTCAGAGACAACACCCAGGCTCAGGGTTCAAGCACCATAACCAACAATACCACCAAAAAAAAGTTTCAAGAGTTGCCTGTCCAGGTTGGCTTTGAACTCTGATCCTTAGATCTCAAATATACTAAGAAATA